TTCCCCCCCCCTCCCCCTGGTTCAGCTGTTGCTCCAGGTCCTGGCTTGCTTGGAGACTTACCAGGGGAGAGTTATCCTTCTTGCCCCTTGGTGGCCAGCCCAGCCTTGGTTCCAGGCACTGCTTGCTTGGTGTTCAAACTCGAGGGTCTTCCTGCAGCTCCACCTCTTTCAGCAGATCAGTCCAGCCCGGTACATGGCTGGTTCACTCTTCTCATCGAGTCTTTGCATCTGAGCTTTTTTACTCAGGTCTATCATCGCTTGTCTGGTATGCAGGTGGCTTCATTGATGGTGTCCCACCTGCGTGCTTCGTCTCGGCGGCAGTATGAAGTTTCCTGGCGGTCCTTCTGGTATTTCTTGTCTCTGTGTAGGTTTCCTTATGTTTCAGATAGGGTTGTTTTGTCCTTCCTTTCGTGGTTGTTCCAGAACCGTTATCTTATGCTGAATACTGGGGGCCTGTATCGTGCAGCACTAGTGGAACTGCTGCAGCTTGCATTCAGTGTTGATGTTACTACTGCTTCGTTTCACAAGCTGTCTTATGCGTTGATTCACCTATTGCCTGCTCAGCAGTGGTGAACTTCAGCACTTCAGGGAACCAGACACAATAAGAATTCCAGAGAACAACATGGAGCACGTAGAGGTGTCTAGAGATGAAGTGGAAAAAATGATAAAGGAACTAAGAACAAAGCCGTTGGTACAAAAGGAGTTTCACCATGGATTCTGAGAGAATGTGCACCTGAGCTCAGCATTCTACTTCAACTGATTTTTCAGGCATCGCTGTGTACAGGAGTCATAGCAGATGTCTGGGAAAAGGCTAACATAGTTCCAATCTACAAGAGTGGCAGCAGGGAAGACCCCCTTGAATTATAGACCTGTATCATTGACAAGTGTAATAGTCAAAATATTGGAAAAAATAATTAAAACTAAATAGATAGAACAACTGGAGAAAAATTATATAATATCAGACAGATAGTTTGGTTTTCGATCTGGAAGATCCTGTGTAACGAATTTACTCAGTTTCTATGATCGAGCCACAGAGATATTACAGGAAAGAGATGGTTGGGTTGACTACATCAATCTGGACCTTAAAAAGGCTTTCGACAGAGTTCCACATAAGAGGTTGTTCTGGAAACTGGAACATATAGGAGGGGTGACAGATAAGCTTCTAACATGGATGAAAAATTTCCTAACTGATGAAAAAATGAGGGCCGTAATCAGAGGCAATGTATCGGATTGGAGGAATGTCACAAGTGGAGTACCACAGGGTTCAGTTCTTGCACAGGTAATGTTCATTGTTTACATATACGATCTACCAGATGGAATAAAGAATTATATGAACAGGTTTGCTGATGATGCTAAGATAATAGGGAAGATAAGATACTTAGATGATTGTCATGCCTTTCAAGAAGACCTGGACAAAATAATTATATGGAGCACCACTTGGCAAATGGAATTTAATTAATTAATGTCATGTTATGGAATGTGGAATAGGAGAACATAGACCCCACACAACCTATAAATTATGTAGAAATCTTTAAAGAATTCTGACAAAAAAAAGAGATCTAGGGGTGGTTCTAGATAGAAAACTGTCACCTGAGGACCATTAAGAACATTGTGTGAGGAGCCTATGCTACACTTTCTAACTTCAGAATTTCTTTTAAATACATGGGACAGAAAAATACTAAAGAAATTGTTCACGACTTTTGTTAGACCAAAGCTGAAATATGCAGCGGTTATATGGTCCCCATATCTTAAGAAGCACAACAAACTGGAAAAGGTGCAAAGACATGCTATTAAGTGGTTTCCAGAACTGAAGGACAAGAGCTACGAGGAGAGGTAAGAGGCATTAAATATGCAAAACTTAGAAGATAGAAGGAAAAGAGGCGATATGATCGCTACATACAAAATAGTAGCGGGAATCAATAAAATTGATGATTCCTGAGACCCGAAACTTCAAGAAGAAGAGGTCATAGCTTTAAGCTAACGAAACAAAGCTGCCGGAGAAATATAAGAAAATTCACTTTTTGTAAACAGAGTGGTAGATAGTTGGAACAAGTTAGGGGAGAAGGTGGTGGAGGCCAACGCCGTCAGTAATTTCAAACATTGTATGACACAGTGTTGAAGAGACAGTCACCATGAGCGTAGCTCTCATCCTGTAACTACACTTAAGTAATTACACATAGGTAATTACTGGTCGTTGGACCGGGTACTCTCTTTTCTCTCTCTTCTCCTCAATTTGTAGTGGCCCCTTTGGTTCAGGATTGTTTGGTGTAGGCTCTTTTCTTGTTTGCATTGGCTTATGGAGGGGGGGGGTCGGGTTGGGGAGCTTCATGCTCTTCTCTGGTGCAGAGGTTTCTGCTCTTTTGGTCCTGGTTGGTAGGTTTGTTCGTTTGCGTCCGTCTCCTTCTTTTCTGGCGATGTATGAGACTGCTGCTTTCCAGAAACAGTCAACAACCCTAGGTCTTTCCAGGACCTAGGGTTGTTGCTTGGTTGGTTCGGGCTGGGGTGCATCTTGTGTTGTGTCCCACCTCCCGGGTATGTCCCTCTTGTTTTTGTCTTTGGGTAAGTAGCTCCGGGGAGCCGACGGGGCTCCCCCCAGAAAACCAGCATCGAACATAATGAAACGCAATTTTCTGGGTGAGACCCGGAGGCTCCCCGGCAACCCTCCCTCCTTCCGGTTGGCATTTTTTTTTTTGCGTGTTTTAACATATAGCCTCAGAACTGGGGTATGGATAGCCGACGCGAGGATCTGGGGCTCCCCAGATCCTCGTTGCACAAACAGCGGCGCGGTGACATGGTGACGTCATGCTCGTTTGCTAGTTTTCATTTGGGGAGTTCTGTCCACTAGTTCAGCTTTCAGTAGCAATGTTAACCAGAATAGGGGTTTGTTTTGGGGCGCTTACCTTTCTGGTTGCCTGACCCGGTCGATGGTAGACATAGAATGATTCCAACCACACTGGGGATTTCTATAGGTAATTGCTTTTCATGCCTCTCTGAGGGGGCCAGGTTCTGGCTCATGGTCCCCAGTTGGCCTAGAACTCCATGCACATTGATGCCAAAGTCTAATATATCCATATCAGCCTGGATAGCTCCGGGAAGCTTCCAGGTCTCACTCAGAAAATGGAGTTTCATTACATTCAATGCTGTTTTTTTCAGCTCTTAAATTTTGTATCTTTAATTTTTTTTTTAAATTTTAGAACTACTGTAGTTAAAATTTTTAGTTATACTGTATCTGATTTTCAGCATACTGTACATATTTTTTTTTTCAGTGTTGAACTAATACAAGGTTAACCCCATTAAACCGCACAATACATACATATACGATTTGACAAAATAATTTAACATAAATTTTTAAAACTTGCAGAAACACTTTCCAATTTTTTTTGCATAATCAACTAGACAAATGCTCCAACTTTGTCTAAATGATCACAGCGTAACTTGAAAAACAAGAGAATCAAAATTAATTTTAAAATTGAATATTGAAAACTTCAGATTTTCAATTCAGAATAAAATATATGAACTTTCACCAATTGTTCATTTAATGTTATTATTCTCTCAGAATAGCATATGATATTCATTTTCATCAAATTAGAATATAAGTTTTCAGCATAGTTTACTGTAAAAAAAATTGTCAATAAGGCATTTGAAATATGCAGCAAATTTAAACCAAAAAAATTATAATTCCAAATGTATAAAGTTTATGAAAAATTCATTCTGAAGGGATTGTAGAACAGACAGCTGAGCACAGAATATGTCAAAATAGTGAGAATCAATCAAAAACTGGAATTTTAGAAGCCACTCAAAGTTGAAACTCTAGTTTCAAAGATAATTGAAGTTGAAGTTATTAACAATGAATAAAGGTAGTTTTAATTCGTTAATTTAATTGTATGTTTTAATAAACATTGTTTGGCATTCGTATTCAAATATGTGAAAGTTGTAGGTCAATATGTGTTGAAATGAAGTCAAGAAAAAATAACCCCAAAAAACACAAGATATAGGGGATAATTATAATAATTATAATGATTTAGAGGATATATTTAGGGTATATTTTACGTAAGTGAAAAAGCCCTAATATGGTCCCTAATCATCAAAACAACTGAAAGAGACAAAGAAAATACAGTAGTTTGAAATCAGAAAAAAAATCAGCCAAAAAAAATTAAATGTTCCAAGTTTTGCGAGCTGTGACTGATTTATTTGTTGACCAATTTCATTCTGTCTTCACATAGTTAGGGAAACATATGCATTCTCCAGGATGTAAAGGTTACAACAAAATCAGATAATAAACAAAGGAAAAAATAAAATCTTTACAAAAAAAATTCCCCTAAAAAAATATATTTTTGGGACATTGATGAAAATAACATATATTACCATTGGACAATGTATTTATATGATATATAACAAAATAGAGCATATTAACATAGTTACTCATTATTATTTGTGTTATTATGTATTACTCACCAATGCTATAAAGGCACCAACTGCATATCCACTTTGTGGACACTTCTTACTACTATTCTTCTTCTTTGCGAGTCGGACAGGTGCTTGCATCTCTTTATTACTGCATTATCCTTCAGTTCCAGTTAATATGAGCTGTTCTCTTTATCAACAAAATGTTCTTATTTTTTTTAATTTGTCTAAAATCAATTTCTGAAAATATTTTGATGAAAGATTCACGACACTGAAGCCAATAAGTTGGAGATGTGTTTAACGTTTTTAAGTTATTTTTACATAATTCAAATATTTTTTGCTACCAGGCCCCCAATATGTACGGTAATATGCGTGATCTAAGGGTTAAGTAAATTACTGTTGAACTTCAATTTCTGCATTGAATTACTGTACTCTTCCATAAACTTAATTATTTATTTAATTCAGTTAAAAAATTACAATAATTGAACCGGCAATAGTTATTAGTTTCTTGTAAGGTATGGTACTTCAGTTCCAACTCACTGAGTTAAACTGAGTAAATGCTTCATTTTGAAATCTGTATATTCTTTTGTTTTCAGCAGCAATTAGCAGCAGCGCGGGCGCTGTTGCGGGTATTAGGAGCAGCCAGTGCAGAGGGACGAAAGATTGCCAGAACAGACTCTATCAAACATAATGTTGCTCCTGGGCAATGTCGGGTGAGCCTCACTAGTTGATGTACTGTCATTACTGTTACGTATTATTTCAAATAATGTATCATCATTAATCACTTTATTATACTAACAAATGAAATCATTATACTGAATTAAACATGAAAAATATAATTTAATTCACTAACACAGCTTCAAGCTGGAGTACTGGTTGATTGTAGCACCTGAAGGAGCATGTTTGCATTGCATAATGCCCTCACAGCCAAAAAAAAGTGTTCTTCACTTTCGCTGTTTAACCTAGGTTCCCTGAGGTTTTGGCCACCCAACTCTATCCTCCTAGTTGGTGCCACTGATCAAACACGTGTAGCCTCTGCAGCGCCTGTTATCTGCTTCTTTTGCTTTCAGCTGAGTGTTGCTGGCTTTCCCTGGAAAATTAGTTGCACAAGAGGCTATTACTTTATTTATATTTATATTTACAGCTCTGTGATATGTTTATGTTACCCATGTGAGTGCCTAGCAATCCATTTCATTAGCCTGTGTTAGCTTCCCTGGGTTCTTCCTATATCCAACCAGAGATATCTGGTTGTCTGAGTTTTATAATGTCTTTTTCATGTAATTTGTAGGTCATGTGTGGCCTATGTTCTCCTGTTCCATAATATGGTATCAATTAATAATTTAAATTAATTTTCATAGGACAGGCAGTCTGTGTATATACTGGTATATATGTTAGGCTTATATCGAGGTTCCCCACCTAGGTTGAACTACTGACATTTCCCAGGATGCAACCTCACAACAAGCTGACTAACTCCTGGGTTCCTTTTTACTGTCAGGTGAATGGAGGCATTAGGTGATAGGAAGTGTGCATAACCATTTCTGTCCCGCTTGGGATTCGAGCCCAGAATTCCTGATTGTGAGTCGAGAATGAACACAATGTACTATTTGTACATTGCCATGTATTACTCTATTTGCAATACATCTGCCATATATTGCTCTATTAGAACATAAGAATCAAAGAAACTGCAGGAGGTCTATTGGCCCATACGAGGCAGCTCCTATTTACGTTATAGGAGTAATACATTCACTTACTGTATTTTGTCCAGGTCATCTTGAAGGGTATGACAGTTGTCTAAGCTTTTTATTTTCCCTAGTAGCTTAGCATCATCAGCAAACAGATTCATATAATTATGTATCCCCTCTTCTTTTGCACCTGGCACACCTACTTGTCTGTGTGACTGATTTCGTATGTGAAATCAGCCAGGTCATTATGGCTTCCCAGTCTACCCCTGAAATTTGCTGTTTTCTAGGATGTTCTTCAATGTTCTTGGATCCTGAGGGCCTTTCTTGTTGCCTCCATTAAGTGACATTCTGAGTCCAGGGAAACTGTGGCCTCATGGGTGTGTGCTATTGCTTTTGGCTGAGCAGCCTTCTCAGGTGACTGTCTTGGGCTGTGGTCATGATTTACAAGGCAAGCTTTTACAGCCCATTTACTGCAAGTACATTAGTGGTAAATACTGATCACTCACCATTTTTTATGTAAACATTTCCAGGCATCTTGTCCTAACACTCATGCCCCTTGTCAGCCAGCTTCCTCTGTTACTTTTGCCTCATCTGGCAGATGGCTTGTTTGTCTGGCTTTAGTTTACTCTGCATTTTAATCTTCCTCATTGGTTTGAGCAACTCAGCTGTTTCATGTTAGGGCCCACTGTAGCCATCCCATCCTCATCTGCACTAGTCGATTGCTTGTTCATTCATAAACAGTATTTTTAGGGACACTTTCCCCCTCCCACCTACTCTTGGTGGTATATACCTTTGTATGGAGTTAAAATTTGTCCAGGAAGCTATATTCTGTGGTCTTAACTGAAACTAGGACTAGAATGACAGTTCACTCTGTAAGAATATTAATTATGTTTGTGTGCTCTACATTACATGCTAGTTTCTCATGCATTTCTTACTATCACTCTTTCATATATACTGCATTTTTTCTACAAAACTTTGTGTTGACACTGAGATGATAACAAATTAGGGTGTAAGTGGATTGTCATGAAAGCAATATTAATTTGTGGCTCGGCTACAGGTGTGTGGGGAGACAATTGCACGTGGGGAACACAGGTCCCATATGGCATCACACACTGCTCACAGGCCACTCCACTGTGCAGTTTGTGGTCGAGGCTTTCACCAGACAGAGGACCTCAAGAGGCATATCAGGTATGGAGAACAACTTTGAAGTTTTGGCCAATGTTACTGCTCAGCTCGAGTTTGTAGTTTATTGCTTGCAATGATATAATAAAAAAATGGGCATAATTATGAAATCTTCATTTATGTATCTGAAATAACAGCCCATGAAGAAAATACATAGAGGAATTTTCAGTCAATAGTTATGTTATTTTATTGGCTTCCTGGCAAGGTTTTGATATCTATTACAGTATATAGTCTGTGAAATCCTTCGGAGCCTACGATTACCGTGTTGAACCTCTAGTATTTTCGGATTAGCAGGGGCTGCATTCTCTTCCCCATCCTTCTCTCTCTCTTTACTACATGGTAGTCCTGAGAGAATACTGCATTTACTGACTTTTTGCAGTTTAGTTTTTGTCTCCTAATTTTCAGTTTGACTGGCGTAGTTAAATGATCATACCCACTTTTGAACCCATCTATGGAGTCAGCTACCATACATACATGTACTGTGTATGTACTATATATGTAAAATTATAGAGTACAGTATAGTATTTCAGACATAATATACAGTACAGTATATTATATTCATTTCATTATTATAATCTTACATCAATCAGCTTTATTTTGAGATGAAATATAAGCTGTAGTGATGTTTCTCCCTACAGGATACATACTGGAGAGAAACCATACAAGTGTTCAACATGTGGAGTAGCATTCCGACAGAGAGGGCACCTCTCAAGACATGTCTTTAAGTACCACCCAGAACAACGACCACCAATCGCTAAACAGAACTAATTTGATGGATGGTACATATGCTGAGACACCAGTGTTGATGAGTCATGCTGACCAATCCTGAAAGGCCATCATGAAAATCTGCCAACCAGAATTTTAGTCCTCAGAGTCAAGTTAGCAATAATGTTGGTTTTGAGTGGGTTACACTCATATTGCACAGGATGACTGTAGTGCTGGATAGAGGGCAAGCTGGAACTTGCTGTTCATTCAATAATTACTATGGCTTTCTTGTTATTAAAAGTTTATAAATTTTGTTATGTTATTTCTGGTTTGAGAATTGTGGCACGCAAGAAAACTGGCTTATGTTTCACCTTCAACATTCTGTGATAAATGACTGGTACATAAAAAGCTTTATAACCAGCAGTGGTTGTTTCTAAAGAAATAAGATGATTATGAGGAGAAAGCACCAGGCTTGTATGACTATATAGCAAGAAATTCCTCTTTCTTACTACATATCTCAACACTTACATTGTGTGGAAATGTTCTTTTAATATCTCTGACAGAATGGTTTTACTAGTATGATGTTTATTTTATTTAATATCTCTGACAGAGAATGGTTTTATTAGTATGATGTTTATTTTAATATCTACTTATCACTTTTGCTGCCCAATGCCGCATATTGTGGTATAAAATCAAAATACGGAGAATGCCTGATGACGCAAATAGGCGTCAATAATTAAAAAAAAATTAGAAATTCCATTTATTATCCAAATACTATGGGACTTGTTTTAAAATGTGTGCCAACATCTGCCCATTCTTTGTATACCCCCACATGGCATCCTGACCCCGCCGTGTGGGTGCCCACCCACGCTGGAGGCTCACTGTTCTCGTGACCTCACTCATGACAGCTGCTGCCTCCTCTCAAGTTGAAAAGTTTTCCCATTCTGGTTAATTTATCTCAGGTATTTGTTGTTACCAGCTTTATAAACACTGCAAATTGACTTCCAGATAGATACTGATCAAGAACAGAGCCAATCCATGACAAAAGCATTGAAAGAAACATGTATGAAGGTAAAGTTATTGATTTTTTTGTCAAAAGTACAGAAAAGTGAGACATGTTCTTATAGGCAAATATCCCTTTACAGCATTCTATTGCGAACAATTTGATACTAAATTGAATGATGTAGTATGAAAATTAAGGTCAGAAAGCTAAAAAGAGTATAAACATTTGTGGGTGGTGGTGAGTTAGCGTGCACCGCTCGGGTTACCTTGAGGTGCGCGGCGGGTCGCCCGTTGGGGCAGCGAAAGTGTTAATCTTCAAATTTGTTTAATTTATGTAAGCAATCTGCCAAACATTTTCCCACTATTGTATCTAAGAATTAATTTCAATTACGTTAGGTATTGTTTAAACTCTGTATTGTAATAATTCCTCTGTAATGAAAACTTGTAAGCATGTTAATTCTGATATGGATAATTGGCTATAACCACTATCTAGGGCAAAGCACTTACTCTGTCATAACTGTCTTTGCTCTTACACAGTGGTGTTTACCTCAAAGTTCAGTGGAATTTAAGTATGCTAGTTTATATGCACAATTACTGGTAACAAATAATATACCGTACTAAAAAGATTTTAAAATACAATAGGTATAACCTGATATTTAAGACTGAATTTTGAATTCAGGATTCCTAGAAATTAAAAGTTGTATTTGATTTTATAGAATAGATTGCATAAAAGACGGAATTGTCCACTTTGTAGGATAGAAGGAAACAGAAAGATGTGTCCACAGGCATAGACATTTCTTGTAAGAATGTATGTTAGAGGTGTGAGGAGAGATACAGTGCAGTAGTTCTTCACAATGGCAGTGAAGTGTGAACATGAACAACTCTCCTCTAGAATTAGCAAGAGAATCACATTTTGTTTTCCATGTACACAAAAAGGTACAATGGTTTGTGTAGATTTTGATGATTAAATGGTACATTCTTTGCAAACCACTACTTTGTATTATCAGGATGTATGTGTTAAGCAAATGCACAATTTTGAAAGACAAAGAAACAACAGTAAAAAAAAAAGTGTGGAAATAAGAAATATTATGGCAAAAAGTTCTCTGTAATCACAAAGTAAGTTTGAATAAACTTGAGTAAGGTAAGGCAAAGCCTTCAAAAGAATGTGCTTCATGTATCCTGTACTGGAGAGTAGAGGCAAAGTTATGTCATTTAAGGTGCTAGAAAAGTATTTGAGTGGCCACTTTGAGATATGTTGAACTATTATATAATTCCAAGAGCAAATATTATGAATCTAAAATGTGTAGTATAACACCCAAGTACTGTACAATGTAAAGTTGAAATTTAAAACAAAATTACTATATGACCCAGATTCACTGGCTTCATGTATGAATATTTATTAGGTTATTATTATAGGTCTGTGAGCAAATAACTGAACCTTTTCCACATGATGCCTTGTGACATAGATGATAAATTGTGTAAAATAATACCTTTAAATTATGTAAAATAATACCTTTAACCACCATGAAACAAAAATTGCATTACAGTATTGCATTTCTGTACTTATCTTACCATTTTAATTTCAAGAGAAGATTTCATAGTCTCTATTCCATAATGATAAAACTGCATGGCAAACAATGCATGATATGGCAATATGTAACGTATACGAGTCAAAGTGTACTACTCATCTTCTCGTTATGCTATCATGTGTTATTTAGTGATTTGTTGTAAATACTGTACAGTAAATACAGTTTGAAGACTTCCAAGGGTATCCAACTGAATAATAATAACAATAATAGTTTCTAAAAAATATTACATGGGTCCAGTTATAATGTTTACATAGTTGGTATTATAATTTTTGTATAACTCCACTAATCTTGAATATTTTTAGCACTTCTTGAGCATGTTTCAAAGATGCAAATACAGATAAACCACGAGTAAATATATACAAAATTATTGTAATAATCAGTTCCAGTTAAAATGTTTGGCATCCAGAATACTTTTGTTTCTTCCATTGTTACAGGTTAGAACATCCACATTAGAAATTCACATAAGCAAATATATTGCCATTACTGTATGTATACGCACATGTTAAAATTGAGAACCAGAAACCCGATCATAATAAATAACCATACAGATGTAACAATATTATAAATATATATGGTCAGAACACCACCATAATGCACTTGACCAGTTCACTTGGGAAAACATAAATATTGTATTGCATTTTAACATCTTACAATAGGAATCTAAATTATGTCATCTTCATTTTATGATACTGTATATGAAATCGGTATCCATCAAATCAGCTTCTCACTATATAGTTTGTTGAAGTGAGATTGCACTATACTGTACTGTATTGTAATAAATAGCTTCACAACTGTAAAAGTATTGTTAGCATTTGCAATTGGCTTTCCGTCTTCCTATAATAAGCAACCACACAAAGATAAATTACAGAACAGTATAAATGTTTGTGTTCAGCACACCACTAGCGTCAAATGCCTGGTTTTCTTGAAGGTGTGTGGGTCAGGGACTCAGTGGAAACACTAGTGTTAACTAGTGTCATGTGTTCCATAGAGAATTTTCTACCATTATGTTTCCAACGATTGTAGAAAATTCTACCATCTTTGCGTCAAAATTCTAAAATCTTTGGTTGAATAGTAGCAAAATAGTGTAAAGCCTATGACGGTAGAGCGACGGTCTCGCTTCATGCAGGTCGGCGTTCAATCCCCGACCATCCAAGTGGTTGGGCACCATTTCTTTCCCCCCCCCCATCCCATCCCAAATCCTTATCCTGTCCCCTTCCAAGTGCTATATAGTCGTAATTGCTTGGCGCTCTCACCCGATAACCCTCCCCTCTGACGATCACCTTCATAGGCTTTACACTATTTTGCTACTATTTAACCAAAGATACATTCTAAACTTTGACTATATTTACTTGTTAAAGTTACAAGTAAATGCTCACTCAAAAATTTCAATTTTTTTGTTCATGTGTTTGAATTTCCATGACACATCTTTTGCAGTTTTTAATTGGTGAACCCACCAGTAAATTTGACTGTGCAAGTTTTCAAAAGGTGTGAGAAACAGGGAAACAGCATTTTAAAAGCTTTCACAAAATCATGATATACTGTACACATATGTGACAAAATTTTGTTTGGTACATAAAATTTAGTTTTTTTTTTTTTGCATAAGCACAAAAAATGCATAAATTTTTGCATATACACATGTTGTAATTAATAATATGAAAATACAGTAATATTGAAATTAATAAAAATAATAGCAAGACATTTTAAAGGTGCTTCCACTTCCATTTTTTCTTACACAGCACATTACTATATTATATAGTAAATGTTATATTGTGAGTTTAGTTGTCTGATTTCTGTAGTACAGAAAACAAAATATGTCAGCTCAAATGCATTGGTCATAATAGACTTCATTCTTTCTCAGGTTTTATCATTGTTACTTCATTCAATACAGCAAGTATTCCAATACAAGTTTTGACTCTGTACTCTTCTTGAGAAAGATTAATTTCCAAAATAATTCAATGTTGGGAGTTGTTATAGTTGACCAAATGTTATGTGTACAGGTCCATTTCATGTTAACACTCCAGTCTTGACATTGTAGCATACAGCCAGTGGTGGTTTGTAGATACATGGAGTACACTTGGTTTTCCATAATTAGTAGAGAAAAAGAAACCATATTAATTTATAATCATTTATTGGTTAATCAATGATACTCATTATATTAATGTGCTAAAACTATTATGTATGGAACAGGTATTGTAAAAAAAAATTATCTTTAAAACTTCATTTTGAATCTAATGTATATTTATTTTGATTTTGCCGTAAAAATTATTAATTTACACCTAAACTCTGAAAATATTGTGCAGTATTGTTGTTCACACTTATTCCAAAGTGACTGAAACTAACATGAAGTTTGAGTTCATTCAAAAACAGAACTATACATTAAAAAAACCAGCGTTGAATGTAATAAAACGCCATTTTCTGAGGGAGCCCCGGAGGCTCCCCGGAGCTATACTGGGCTAATATCTATATACTGTACTGTATTAGACCATGGCATCAGTCAATTCAAATGGAGTTCTAAGCCTACCGGGGACCACGAGCCAGAACATGGCCCTCCTCAGAGACACACAAGGAGCAATGGCCTATAGAAATCCCCCATGTGGTTGTAAGTATTCTGTGTCTGCCATCTACCGAGTTAGGCACCCAGGAAGTTAGGCATCCCAAAACAGACCCCAACTGGTGAAACAGTACTACCTAAAACCAAACTGCTAAGCAGAACTCTCCAATCTGAAAACAAGCAAACAAGCATGACGTCACACCTTTGCTGTGCCGCCTGTCTGCGCAGCTCCCCCCTTCCCGGGAGGGGGAAGGGGGAGCCCCAGACCCTGCACTGGTTATCCACCCTCAGTTCAGAGGCTGAATGTCTAAAACGTAAAAAAAACGCCGACCGGTGGGAGGGTTGCTGGAAAGCTTCTGGGTCTCACCCAGGAAATGTAGTTTCATTACATTCAATGCTGGTTTTCTGTGGAGAGCCCCTTTGGCTCCCTGGAGCTATCTAACCAAAGGTAAGAAAAAGAGGGACTTACCCGGGAGACGGTTGTCACTCGCTCCTTAGCTCGAAGTCGAGACAACTGGCAGAAACCTGTGACCCAAGGCTACACATGCCTGAGTAGGGCCAGGAACATTAATAAGGTTCCGTGCAGCCAGGACCCTGTTCGACCACCAAAAACCCTGTGCCCGAATGTCAGCCCAGGACATGTTACCAACGGCAGCAGCCAAAGCCACGAACTTACAAACGTCGTGGGCACAGGGATAGACCACAGGCTGGTTGGACAAAATAACCCTGCAGACAACCTGGGAGACCCATGCCCTGGAACAGGGAAGAAAGGAAACCGAGTCCACCCAAAGCGCATCCCCAGCCACTGAGGCCGTGGTGCTCAATTATCAGCGAAGAGCCACAACCAGACACAAGACATGATACACCCCATGCCGAACCAACCAAGCATCAACAACCCAAGGACCCCTCTGGAAAGCAGCAGTCTCATTCTTCGCCAGAAAAGAAGGAGCCGGCTGCAAATGAACAAACCTACCATTAGGAAAGAAAGAGCAGAAACCCCTGCGCCGGAGGAGAGCATGAAGCTCCCCGTCCCCACCCCCCCAGAGGCCAATGCCAATAAGAAAAAAGCCTTAGAAAAATAATCCTGAACTAAAGGGGCCACCACAAACCGAGGAGAAGAGAGAAAAAAAGAGAGCACCTGGTCCAATGACCAGGACGGCTCAGGCGATGCATGAGTAGGCCGGAGGTGAAACAACACGTGAGAAAGCTTGCAGAATGGAGCAGAAGTGACCTCCACTCCGAATGCAAGCTGAAGAGGCTCTGCCAGCGCCGCACAATACGAGGCAACAGTATTCTGCATAAGACGATCCTGAAATAGCCAAGAGAGAAAAGACAAAACCCGATCAGAAATCGAAGACAACCTACGAAGACAAAAAGTGATGAATAGTCTGCCAGGAAACTTCATACTGCCACCGAGACGAAACACACAGGTGGGACACCATCAACGAAGCCACCTGATCACCATACAAGTGGTGATAAACCCGTTTCAGAAAAACCAGACGCAAAGATCAGAGGAGAATATTAAACCAGCCACGTAGCGAGGCGGACCGATCTGCTGAAAAAGTCAGAACTGCGGAAAGATTTCCAGGTTTGGACACCGAGCAAAGCAGCTGCCAGGATGTTGGACACTCCATGGATATGAACTGCCCAGAGAGCCAAACCCCTGAGAATCCAGCAGGCAAGTCACCTGATGCGACCAGCCCCAAAGAACCAAGGACTGCATTGAACCCCCGCAGTTCAGACAATGAACCACAGGAAAGCAGTCCAAACGGAGCCAGATCGTCGATCCATAAGCGACACGAACCCTCTGAAGCGAAAGCCACATAAGAGCGAACTCCCACATCGTGCTGTGAGCCCAACGGAAACACAGATCCCACCGACCCTGGCCGGCCTGGTGGCACTGGTCACAAAGCCCTAGCCGAGAGATGACGCATACATAAAAACATAGAGCGTGGGCTCGGGTAGGCGCCACGGCACTGAACCCTGAAAAACCCAAAGAGGAAGCTGGCGACACAGCAGCCAACACAAGGCCCCCCGGGGTCTGAACCCAGCAATCTCGAGAGCGGCGGAAGGGACATCCGCGAAGGAACCAGAAAATCCGCCGAAGCCAGATCCGACCCAACGGGTAGACCAGTATGACTAAGTTCAGACTCCTACACAGCTGCTCGAACAACCGACGAATGACCCAGGTGCCCTCCAAAAGCAGCCGAAGGCGGGACTGCAGCCACAGCAACATCACTGGAGGGAGAGACAAAAAAGCGGTCCAAGAGTCCCACACAAGGCCCAGCCAAGTCCGAACCTGAGAGGGAACCAAATGGGACTTCCTTCAGTTCACTAAAAACCCAAACTCAGCGAGCTGGGAAAGAACCAAATCCCTGACGAGCAGACATGCGAACCATCTGGAGGCCCAAACCAGCCAGTCGTTGAGGTAGGCCAGAACCCGAACCTCTAACAGAAGCAAACGGGCCACCACGACCTGGGTAAGGCGTGTGAAAATGAGGCGCCAGATTCAACCCAAATGGAATGCGATGAAAGTGGTAAGCATGCCACCCCACGGCAAAATCGAGCCAATCCTTGAACCCCAGATGAATCGGGACATGCCAATATGTATCCTGGAGGTCCAGACACCATCCAAGCATCCGGCTCCAAAAGAAGACGGACCTGGGACAGAGTGGTCATCCGAAGAGCGGGGCAAAAGACCCAGGAGTTCAGATGAAATAAGTCCAGAATGAACCTCAGATCCGCACAGTCCCGTTTCAGCACTGGAAACAGGTGGGAACACACCTTAGGGATGCCATCATTTCGACCATGCCCAAGCGTACTCACTCCAGGATGACCTGACAGAGTGCAGGAGAAGAGGACTGCCCCACCAGCCCCGAAATTCCCGAAGGAGGAGGAGCCACCCAATGCCACCGGAGGCCAGCAGAAACGACCCGACACGACCATGAATCGTGGGACCAGGCAAAAACACCCCCCCCCTCACCGCCGGAGAACCAACAAGTCCGACATGGGACGGCAACAATATGAAGCTGCCTGCAGATATTGCACAACTGCAGACTCTGCAAACAGCAATGGGCAAAGAAGGGACAAATATCTAAGAGCCAGGTTCCAAGCAAATTCCAAAGAGTGAAAGAGCACCGCCTGTCGGCACGTGAGGTGAGAAGCAAAGAACAGAGACATGGCTTCCTTTAGAATCGGTGCAAACTACTTCAACAAGGCAGCCGACCCCCAAGCCGCCAAGGCAAGCACACTGGATGCAAGTTCGGAGCCCAGCTCCTCCACATCCTTTTCGAGCTAATCTGAAGATGGCTCAAGCAGGGAAAAGAAGCATAAGACCGAAGCATATAGCCATTTCCACAGACCCACAAGTCCTCAGCCACCAAGGTCATTGAAAAGGTGGGAACCTGCACGTTGAGATATATCTGGTCAATATCACGAGGCAGAACGGGGGCGAACAAGCACTTATTGAGGTGCTCAAACTCGCCCCCCCCCCAGGTAAACCTGAACCACCATAGTAGTTTCCTGCCACTTAAGCGTGTGGGTTCGACAGAACACATGCCAAGCCCCCAACGAAAAGAAAGGGCAGTCTGTCAACCAAGAAGACTCTGGCACCTCGTAATGCACCCAATAAGAAAAAGAAGAGCCAAATTCAAATGAAAAAAGATCCATTATCGAGGCAAAATCCGGGTCTCGCAGCAGGTACGACCCAAGAGCTTCCCGAACCTCCTTAGACAGGATGCGGGAAGCCAAAAACCAAACTCATATCACACTCGTACAGGGAGAGGGGATAAGAAAACCA